AACTCTCCCCACCATGTAACTCACCCCATTATTGTGTAACTCACCCCACCGTGTAACTCACCCCATTATTGTGTAACTCACCCCACCGTGTAACTCACCTCATCATTGTGTAACTCAACCCATCGTTGTGTAACTCACCCCATTGTGTAACTCACCCCACTGTCTAACTCGCCCCATTGTGTAACTCACAGAGCTTGGTCGTCCTGTCTAGTGTCACTGTCCTAAAAGCACTGTCGGGTCACTGAAACTGTGATTAGCCTGGGCTTTGCCTACCCAGAACCCCTTCTGAGCGCCACGAGCACCTTTGTAGGCTCAGCTGTGAAGTTTCCAGATTCCACATGCACTTGCCCTGTCAGGGGCCTGGATGCTGCCAGAGTTGTGTTCACCTCAGGTGTGCCATCACTGTAGCTGTTTCGGTCCGTGACACGGTCTTGCAATGTTGGCGTGCACGTGGAAGCGTGCAGGGAACAGTCGGCACTGGCATCGAGGCCCCTGGATGTGGCCATCCACTCTCGATGGCCCCAGGTCCTTTCAGCCCCTCAGGGTTTATTTCCTAGGGAAACTCTGGTTTGGAACCATAACTGCAAAGAGGAAAGTCACAGAAGTTCAGTGGGATGATCCAACTTGCTTGCCAAGAACACACTGCTCCACTAAAATTCTCTTGTAGTTTCTACACCCAAAACATGGGCCAAAAATTCAGAAGCCACTGGCACAGCCTGGGAAGAACAAACCTGGCTAGGGACTTTGTCAGTCATCCCAAGTCACAAGCGCTCAGGCGTCCCGTACAGGAGAGGGGGTCTTGGCCCAGAGCTCACCCTCCTCGCTGAGGCACAGCTGGGGCATGCTTGGTCCATCGGAGCTAAGATGCTCTGCACTGTGCTTTTAAGGAGCAGGGATCCTGCCAGGGAGGACTCTTAAATGGAACCACGATAAGCAGTGATTTACGGTCAGCCCCTATACACACAGCAGATGCCGTGAGGCCTGCTGAGCTTCGGAACAGTGCACCTGCACTCCTGCCTCCCGGTTTGACCCGGCTCCAGCCTCTGTGCTCCGTGCTGCACTCCAATCCCACCAGCACCAGCAGCTGACGGCAGGGGAGACGTTCTTTCCACGATAAGGATTTGTTTCAACCAGCCATGAGTTCTTCCAGTAAACACAGTTAGCACATAAAACTGCATCGCGTGGTGAAAGGAATTAGGAAAATATGCTGTGTTTACTTTGTGGTTCCAAGAACTGATATCTTTAAACCTTTGATTTGCCAAGAGCTCAAGTCATGGGCAGGAAAGGAGGGTAAACCCGCCCCGTCACTTGCAAGCGGCCGATGGATAAACAGCTGCCGGCTGTCTCCTCACAGCGCAACTCAGCTGCTGCTCCCGAGCTGTGCTTCCAAGTGCTGGGCTGTTTGGCCTCTGCCCCCAAGTGGAGGCTCCTGCAGAGCACAGCTGGGCCAGGAGCTGGGTGGCTTCGTTGATGCTGTCATTGCTGTGCCTCAGTTTCCATCCACAGAAGAGGGGACCGTACAGGGCTCTTGAGCAGAACAAGATAGTTGTCATGAGACTCTGGGGACTGCACCAAATGATGCTGGTCACTGAAAAGGAAGCAGCCTGTGTTACCCGGACCGCATGACCGCCATACCGCTTTTCAGAAGGTTCGTGAATAACCCACCCCTCATTTACATGTAATTAGGTGGAGGTATAAACAGAGCCAGCCAGCAATCTGAGGGGGCCCTTTTGCCTGTGGATGGCCCTGCTCTGTCCGTGCAGCAGCCTTTGGCTGTGCCCCATTGCCCTAATCAATGCTTCTTCTGTCAGATTCTGTGTGAATCTCTCCTGATCACGCTTCCTCCACCGTCGGCTCACGTGTGAATTATCTCCTGATCAATGCCTCCTCCACCGTCGGCTCACGTGTGAATCTCTCCTAATCAATGCCTCCTACACTGTCGGCTCAGGTGTGAATCTCCCCTGATCAACGCCTCCTCCACTGTCGGCTCACATGTGAATTATCTCCTAATCAATGCCTCCTACGCTGTCGGCTCAGGTGTGAATCTCCCCTGATCAACGCCTCCTCCACCGTCGGCTCACGTGTGAATTATCTCCTGATCAATGCCTCCTTCACTGTCGGCTCACGTGTGAATTATCTCCTGATCAACGCCTCCTCCACCGTCGGCTCACGTGTGAATCTCTCCTAATCAATGCCTCCTCCACCGTCGGCTCACGTGTGAATCTCTCCTAATCAATGCCTCCTCCACGGTCGGCTCACGTGTGAATCTCTCCTGAGTGAAGCCGAGAGTCCTCTTGGACAGAGGAGGTCTGCCTGCCTTGGTTTTGCTCTGCAGACCACTCGCTTTGGTTTAGAAGCTTCCTCTCTTGAGGAAGGTGATTGCCTGCTAAAGCAAAAGTTGTCAACCCTTTCTGGAGAAATAGAATCCAGAGCCACTACACATAAAATTTATATTTAGGATAAAATCCAAAATTATCTGACATATGAAAACCAAGAAAAATATTACCAATCTTCAAAAGAAATGACAACTTTTAGTTTCCAACATTGAGATGAAAAGACTGTTGGATTACCAGACAAGTACTTTAAAACAGCTATTGTAACTGTGCTCAGCAAAGTAAAGATATGCTTGTGATGAATGAAAATATAAAAAATCCAAGCAGGAAAATATAAAATATTAAACAGAACCAAATGGAATTTTAAAACTAAAAAATACAATATTTGAAATAAAAAGTTCAGGTTTAATAGAGGAAAATAGTAGTAAACTTAAAGAGATTGATGAAATGCCATATAAATTAAAGAGAGAGAAAAATGATTTTAAAAGCAGAGATCTACAATAGTTGTCATCTCTTCAAAATGTCTATAAAGTGTTTTTGTAAGCCTCATAGTAATCATAATGCAAAAACCTATAATAGATACACTAAAAATAAAAAGCAATGAATTAAAACATACTACCAGAGAAAATCACTTGACTACAAAGGATGACAGTAACAAAGAAGGAGAGGAGAGGAGTTACAAGACAACCAGAAAACAAGCAACACAATGGCAGTAGTAAGTCCTTCCTTATAAATAACCTCAATGGGTTGGCTCCACAGCAAAATTGAAGAAACAGTGGAAAGAATCAGTGAAACAGAAGTACAATAAAAATTACACAATCTGAACAACAGAGAGAAAATAGACTGGAAAAAAAATGAACAGAACCTCAGGGACTTCTGGGGCTATAACAAAAGATCCGAATTCATGTCATCAAAATCTCAGAAGGAGAGGAGAAAGAGGATGGAACTGGAAAAACACCAAAAATAAAATGACTGAAAACTTAAGAAATTTGGCAAAAGACATAAACCTACAAATATGAGAGGCTGAAAAAACTCCAAACAGGTTACATTCAAAAAAATTCATGCTAAGACACATCATAGTCAAACTTCTGAAAAGTAGAGGCACAGAGAGAAATGACATTTTACCCATAGGGAAAAGCAATTCAAATGGCAACAGATTTCTCATCAAAAACCGTGGAGGCTAGAAGGAAGCAGCACACAAAACTGCCAACACAAAAGTCTGTATTCAGCAAAAATAATCTTCAGGATTGAAAGGGAAAATTGAGGCATTCTTAACTGAAAAAAAACTAAGAACATTTGTCACTGGCAGATCCATCCAAAAAGAATGGCTAAAGGGGCTTCCCAACACAGAAAGAGAATGATCAAAGAGGAAAACTTTTTTCTCCTCTCAAATTTTCTAAATTATATTTGATGAAGCAAAAATTAAACCACTGTAGCTCTACATATGAATATATCTGGAGGAGATATTTATGACAATTATATCACAGACAGGAGATTAAAAAGACATAAAAGAGAAAAATCAAGGAAACAAATAACTTTTTCTTTAAAAAGATCAATAAAAGAGACAAATCTGTAGCAAGACCGACCAAAAAGAGAGAAGGCATAAATTATCAATATTAGCAATGAACAGGGGCCATCACTAAAGACCCTGCAGACACCGAAGGATATTAAAGGAATACTGCAGACAATTCTATGTAAATATGACCACTTAGATGAAATCGACCAATTCATTAAACAAAAAACGACCCCAACACATCTAATATGAAATAGATCATTTGAATAGTTTTATAACTATTTAGAAAATGGAATTTGTAATTTAAAAATTGCCAAAAGTGAAATCGCGAGGCCCGGATGGTTTCATTGGAGAATTCTACCAAATGTGTAAAGAATTTATAATTCGGCCGGACGCGGTGGCTCACGCCTGTAATCCCAGCACTTTGGGAGGCCGAGGCGGGC